CGATACTAGGACGAAATGACCGTTCAGTGCTTCCATGTTTTCAATGGTGGTCTAACATTATTCGGTTCACGATCTCAATCAAAAATTTGAGATTGATGGAATATTACATAGCTGTTTCATTCTAGTCTTGAACTTTACAACAGTGTGTATCTATAGTTTTACTAGGAATCTGACTCAAAACCTTTAGATACTAAGACTCTCATAATGCTTCTGATTTATTGAATTAAAAAATGAAAAAGAAGAATTGACTAATTCTCATTTAATTATTCACTATTCTCCATTTTTCAATGATTCCCTAAGTAATATATGTTTGTGACTAAAACAATTAACAATCTATACAGTCATATATGTTCATTTCTTACACTATAACTTATACTGCAGTTGGATAGATTTCATTGATATTTCAGTCAAGAAACAAAAAGGTACTTTTTCTTATACTATACGCCTTCGTAACTATGTGTCATCAACACTAATCTATCTTTTGTAATTTATTTCATTATTTGACAACATTTACTAATTAAATACTTAGCATAGTTATTGTAAGCTACCTTATTCAATGGATTAGTCAATTATATTATTTAATTATTAGTTAACCAATAAAATCTCTTCAAACTAAGCATTAAATATTGCCTACGTAAATGTTAATCATTTACATTGTCACGTTTATTAGATAGAAAAAAATAGAATGATTTTTATGGATGATCTTGATCATCTTAAGTTAATAAAATGGTTCTTGAGATTCGGCATTCTGTAGTAATTACTCGATATACTCGATATAGTCATGACTAAACGAATACAAAATAGAAAAGTAATAATCAGAGAAGAGTTTTGTGGATATTATAGGAATTTATTGGTTGGATTCATGAATCAATTTAAGCTAGATCATTATGGAAAACGTGGAAACACTGAACGGCCGTTTCGTCCTAATATAGGATTTCTCAGCAGTGCACCTTCACGATCCCGCTCGCGGGATTCGAGTCCAGGACCTATAGGTTTCACGCAAGAACACTAAACCTCTAGACCACTGAGCCGGAGTCCCATACTAGGAATAAACGGCTATCCGGTGCTTTCAGCTTTTCCATAATAGTCTAGCCTCAATTGACTCATGAATTCAATTATTAAAAAAAGTAATACTTAAAACAAATAATGGTACATTATTCGAAAATGTGAAATTTTGTTGGGTCTCGAGAAACATAATGAATGGTAACTTTGGAATCCTTTTATGGACCAATACTAAACGTATATTCTTATCGTATAATTGTTAAATAACTAAACCATTCATATTCATGTCTTTCTTATTACAAGCTTTATTTTGACCTATGAACCATTATTAGACGTTTTACCATTCTTGAATTATGCCCTGTCTATTGTTATTATCATTGTTATTATCATCAGCTTTATTCAATACTATATTTTTGGTACAATAGAGAATTCTCAGCACAAAGTATTTCAACAAGTTCCCTTTTCTTATTGCTTGATCGATACTGACGATAAATATTGAGTGATCGCCAGTTAGATGTTAGCAGTTCAGGGAGTGACATCTGAATAATGTGCATTCTTTTCGCTGTATATTTTATGCAACCACATTGTCTCTTATTGAGTTTTTTGTAACTTTGACAACGAAAGGTTGTACACTTTTCAGAAACGCAGCAGAATAGGTTATGTGATTAATAAACATAATGATATATTAAAACAAACAAAAATAGATAACTTGTTTAAATATCTAGATGGCAGGAACAGGTAGCCCAGATGCTCAAGCAGGCCGCCCTTGTCACTACCTCACACATTCACAGCCACATTTGATCAAATTTTGTACAAATGTTATTTTCTATTTTATGGCACGTTGTGGTCTGTTTGATTGGTATATAAACTCAGTATGTTTGAAATATTAGGATTCATATTGCAGAGGCTGACACTGGTGTTCGGGACTTAACTGGCTGGGCTAGGTGGAAAGCAGGACCAATCAGGACTTTAGGCTGCTCGCACGTTTTTCACGCGTCCTTGGTCCGATCGATAATTCGCTGCTTCTAGTTGGCGGCTTTGGACTATAACAAATTTATAAATTATTTTCATGGAAAAATTTGTCATAGAACTCATAATAATGCATGGTATAAACTATAAACAAAATACATAGCCACAAATGTCATCAGTTTAGAGTACAGAATTATTGATATAATGCACATTGTCACATTCATAAATGCTGTAAGTATAAAGTTGTCTTGAATAAGTAGTAGATGAAAAGCGAATAAGCTTAGAAGGTGACGTAACTACAAGATCGCCTTCGTTTTCACTGCAGTACAAACTTGATATTTCTCAACACTTTCGCATTAATATTAACTGATCATTATTATTAGTACTTAGAACTGGTATTTTCATATATGATATAATACATTTTACTTCCTAGAATATAACAGAGTTAATGTGAGTGATGTGGTTCAATAAATTATTCAATTTTTTTCAGTAAAGTTTTAATCTCATACAAGTTTCGATTAGCTTGGAAGGTGATTAGTGAGGTAACGCACACTTTTCAATCCCTGAAAGTTTTGAATTTGATCATTAGTAGGGTTATGCATGAGAAATTCTATATTAAGTTAAAATAGCTCTGAAGTTTGCCTTAGTTCTGAATTATTGTCTGGTTAAAGTTGGTCTGCTGTGTAAACTGCAATTTTTGTACTAGTCATTGTTGTTAGACAGTAATACACCAGTGATTACTCTTTACAGATTAAGCCTCATTCTCTTTGTTTCTATGTTTGATTTCCATGTTCATTTGAAATTTAATCATTGTAATTAATAGAATACAATCCTTTTATTTAAGACTACATGCTTCATTATAACAAATAGTTCATTTATGAAATACAAACGGGATAATAGTGCCCCCCCTTGAGAATCAAGATTTTAATTGTAAAAATCTGAAAATATAATAAGCTTCTAAAATCATAATTGTATTGTTTAACGTCAAAGGTTTGGGTCAATTACTTAATCAGTTCAGACTATTCCAGAAAGATGAAAAATCAATCCAACATATGAAAAATAAAATATATCAGTAACATGGTGACTTAAAAAACACTTACCATCAAAATTAACTACAAAGATTGTGATGAACATTAAATTTTAACTACACATACATTGACTATAAAACATCAGAGAGTATTTCAAATATAAAAAAATAATGATTTTGTGGTATGTGCTACTGATATCGATAGATATTAGTAGCATGTATCATCAATCGAAAGTGAAGTGCCTGGTAGCAGAAGGTTAAGAACATCAAAGAAAACAGAACAAGAACAAAGAATGATTGGTATGGAAACGAAAGAACAATGAAGTCTGAAACGATTTTATTGATATTTGCAAAAGGAACAGTGTAGTTTGAGACAATTGATTAACATTTTGCGCATTACGTATTTGCTGTATAGTTTTCAGAGTTTACTAAGAGATTCTTTAGTTTTGTGTTGAAATACATTCAATTGTTCCTACTTGCGTTCTCGTTCACTACAAAAGTATATGATAGAATATTTAGAAATTAAACTTATAAGGCAAAGCTTCATGTGTTTTATATAGAGGTTATTTCTCAATTCTAATGCATTTCGATATTGTGATAAGAGTCTTGAATACGTGACTTAAACTACCGTACATTGTTTCAAAACAAAACGTTGAATAAAAAAAATTGGAAGTATTTAGAATTACTTGATTCAGTTACGTATTGTGCAAAACTACTATTTAATCTGAGAATGACCAATCAGTTTATACTGGCAAACTACACAATTAACAAAATCTGTTGATAGTCTATTGTATACTTGAAAGATAAACTGTTAAATAGTTTGCTAATATGAAAAAAAATAACCAAATATAATTTTTCAGCTATCAAGCAAAAGATATTCAGTTTCTGCTATAATGCACTTGGGTTTGTAGTTATGTGAATAATCCAAACTATTGTTAAGTAGATTCAATTGGTATTGTTTTGCTTGTATCTTCCCATTAAGGTTTAAGACTGCAGTTGATCAGCCTCATATTGGCATATGTGCATATCGTGTAAATTGCCTCGATATTGCCTTAATTCACAAGCACTATAAGCAAAGGTAGATAGTGGTTATGAAATTTATTTAAATTTAATAAAATTTGAGAAGAATATATTCAATCTTTAGTAATAATTACAGTTTTCATACATTTTAATAATGTTAATAGAAAAAGTATAAATTATATTTTAGTAATTACGAAACTAGTCAAGTACATCAGTTCATCTAAACTCATATCAGACTTTATTTTAATTGTTAAAGTTATTTAGTTTGCAAAGTCCTTTAACACTTCTCAGTGTATTTCATAGTTAAGATCATGAGTCAAATGAAGTTAGACCATCATGGAAAACGTAGAAGAACTGGACAGCCATTTTGTCTTATTGTGGAACTCTTTAGCACTGCGCAACCACGACCCCACCTCACGAGATTCATGACCTCAACTGTTAAAATTACTACAATATCCACACACAAAAACACCCTTCTGATATTTTCTCATTGTATTGAATAATATAAATTGGAACGACTAATAAGTATGAGCAAAGATGAATAGTGGTTAGCAGTGGAATCCAGGATGCGCGTTTCATCCTATTTGTGACTCTTCATCTGGATGTACATTCATCTCCGAGTTGATGTACATTCTAGGTCACGAACCCTGTACCATTCACTTCAAACGCCAAAATAGGATTCCACTACTAGCCATTATCCATCTCTGCTATTAAGTAATTGTCTAGTCTTTATAAATTTCTCTAGTTGAGATTTGACTGTAATAAAAATAATCTTTTGAAAATTTCCATAATGGAATAATTGTTGAAAAAAGTAACATCATTTATCAATAACAAAATTAAATATTTCCATTGCCTATTATTTTCTATATTTTATAATGAATCGTCAAAATTTCTAGAATTATGATTGGCTGATTATAATTCAAGGTCATATTCGTGTAATAAAAATCAGACTAGAGAAAAATATTTTACCAATTTATTTGCACAAATTTATGTAATTTAAAATTGAAAGTAAAACAACAACAAAAAAACACACAAAAAAAACAAAAATGATGTGGAAATACATCGTTTCAATCATTTTTTATTTTATAATCAATAAATCGAATACATCAATAAATCAATTAAACGATATCATTCTAAACAAGAAATTACCAATCAATAATACATGTAATTCATTCATTGCAAAATGTTATTGTGATGAATTATGCATTAAAAAATCTGATTGTTGTATAGATTATCCATTATATAATGATAGTTTAAATGATAATAATGATAATAATATTATAACAACAACATGTATTAAAAAATTTCATTATGTCATTGATAATCCAAATATTCTAGAAGAATATGAAGATTTTACTGAAGAAATTTATGCAATTTCAAATTGTCCATTCAATACTTCAAAAGCATTAGCATCAAAATGTAGTCAAGCAAAATATATTAAAATAGAATTTAATGATTTATCTAATATAGATAAAAATAATTGGGATCTAATAACAAATCAATATATTTCAGGTATTATATCAAATAATATCTTATTTCATTTTAAACTATCTGATATACGTGCTATTGCACCAGTTATATCATTGAAAACAAATCGTATCTATGCAAATATTGATTGTGCTCAATGTCATGGTGAATTTAAATCAATACCAGGAATAAATTTTAATGATTATTTAAAAAAATATTTAAAATTTTATACAGTGAAAATTCGTTGTCATTTAATCAATAATCAATATCGAATTTGTTTATTAGATACATTATTACCACCTAGTTATTCACGTTCATGTTCATCATTATTACGTACTAATATAACACCATTATCAATAATCAATAAACGTATTAAATGGCATGAATTTGTTGCATTACCATCAAAATATTTAGGTTTTAATATTAATCTAACTAATAATAATAATAATGATACTAATAATAATGATAAATCTACAATATTGAAATTCATTGAATCTATATTTGATATTTTACAACTTATTATTACTATTTTATCAGCTATATGTTTATGTATTTTATTAATCATTTATAGTAAAACAAAATCGATATATCAAAAATTATCCAATCAATTAATTATGGGTTTATCTTTATCGATTTTATGTTTATTATTGATTTATTTAACATTATCATTAATTATTGAACAATTGAATGTATTCAATCGTCAATATTGTGTTATCATAGCATTTTTAATACATTATTTCTTTTTATGTAGTTTTATATGGATGTTAATATTTGGTATGAATTTACTGAATACATTCGGTGGTATTCATACATGTTTATTATGTATTACATATATTAAATTAAAAATAACAAAATCAAAAGAAACTATCAATTCTATAAATCATCAATTTATATCAAATGCTATGCATGTAAGTTTTGTTTCTTTTTTTTTGTATTAGAAAGGATATTTTAGATACTAAATATGGTAAATTTTAATAGTTGAGATGATGAGTCTAGTGGAGTTCAATTGGGTCTATTGTGAAGTATTAACTCAATGATGATAATGATGGATATGTTGAAGTTAAATATTAACATGATTGGATGACAGCTTAGTGATCTAGTGGTTAAGCGCTTGAGCGTGAGACTGATAGGTCCTAGGTTCGAATCTTACAAGGCGGGATTGTGGATGCGCACTGCTGAGGAGTTTTGTACTAGAATGAAATGGCCGTACAGTGCTTCCAGGTTTTCTATGATGGTCTAACTTCAATTAGCTCATGATCTCAACCATTGTTTTTTTTGTAGTTTTTATATTGTATCATGTGTATGAGATTCATTTAATAGGAGCTTCTATTTTGAAATGTAATTTTTAATAGCTATAAAATTCATTCAGGAAAAACGGTTGTTCGATTCTCATTACTGAATGAATTCTATTGATTATCTTCGTATTATAGACCTAAGTGGATGTGAATATAAAAAAATTACATATAGACTACTTAATGTTGATGAAGAGATTACTTAAAGTTCACAGTTTATTGAGAAAGAAATTTCTACATATATTCAAACTAATTGAAAGTATTAATAATGAATACATAAAGATTATTGTCATTGAGATATGAGCAGTTATAATATGTCAGTAATTCGGAACATTTTTACTACAATTTTCGTTTTATCTTCAAAATTTGAAATCAAACTTAATGTAATACGAGAAGGGGATTTTATAAAGAATTCAGTTGTTATAACGCTCGGTTTTACTTCGTCTAATGTTATGACAGTTAGGTTTCCACGTTTACACATATGGGACGTTAATTTATCTTGAATGAATATCTATACTAGATTCCCTGTCAGTGTCTATTCTGCAAGACTTCAACAAAACTCAGATCAAGAACACGTGATTAACCTGACCACAGCGTAAATATATTTCCACATCAAAACCCGACACAATCCGACAACAATCAATGATAAGTGAGTGAGTAATAATAATAAGGATAGGGAAATATATAACTCACCTGATACCTGTCAGACTATCTATATGTCTGACTAAGCAGACACCTAATCATTATCATTCTCGCCCACACATCATTAGTCAATTTAATAGTTGAATTCATGAGTTAGTTAAAGCTAGACCATCAAGGAAAATCTGGAAGCACTGAATGGCCATTAGTGGACGGTGGAGCAATTTCGTGGATTGACTGAAGTTAGATATTGACAACATTAGATGTTAACTCAGTGGTCTAGAGGTGAAGCGTTCTCATGCAAGACCCAAAGATCCTGAGTTCGAGTCCTGCGAGAGGGATTGTGGATGCGCACTGCTGAGGAGTTTCATACCAGGATGAAACGGCCGTCCAATGCTTCCAAATTTTCCATCGTGGTCTAGCTTCAATTGATTCATGAATTCAACCATTAAATTAATATAATATCATTGTTTTATTAAATCGTGTTTGAATACAGCTTATTGTTCACAATTAGAGGATTTTGAGACGTCGATGTTTCAAAAATCAGCTTTTTAATAGAAAAACGTTTTTTAGTTATTCATATGAATCGTTGAAACACTCGTATTCCATATATCACTAAGATGTAATTCACTTATGAATCTTTAGCTTTCTATATTTTTGTGATGAATTATCGCTGTAAATCCACTCTCCATAACCTATTGTATAACAAAAACTTCAATGCATGAATTATGGAACGTTAAATAAATTTCCATGTCTTAATATTTTAATAAATGATCAATGTAGAAAGTTTAAAAGTCTTTACCACATTAAGATGAAATAGCTTCCTGTTGTTTTTCTTAGTTTTCACCAATTGTCTATCTAACATAAGTTTCTATTGTTAATTACTTTTAAAACAAATAGTGAAAACAATTCTATCATGTGAATCATAAAATGTGATATTTACCCTATCATGATGACATTTAAACATGAAAACACTAAGCTGTCTAGATATTTATCTTAAACATCAATATAAACAGTTATTTAGGGAAAGAAGTCTAGAAAGGTTTTATGTTTCCAATGAACTGTGTATTTTCTTGTTATATGAATTAAAAGTATACCATAGAACAGTTGGTATTAGTTATGTTTTATTGAACGGGATGAAATAAGATAAATTAATGTTATATATTTATATTATATTCTCATTTATTATGGTAATTGTATTAGTCTTAAATTATCAACTAGTGATAAAACCATATAGTAATTGAACTACTATTTGTATACAACTCCTCAGAAATAATTTTAAGTCTCAAATTCTGTATGAAATGACGGATCATTTATATTATAATAATCAGATGAAATAATAAACATACTTTTTAGTAGCTTAGTATGGTTTACTTAAATCTTCCCATTAAGGTTCAAGACTTCAGTTGATTAGCCTCTTATTGGCATATGTGTTGTATTGTGCAGAATGCCTCGATATTGCCTTAATTCACAAGCATTATAAGCAAAGGTCGATAGTGGTTAGCAATGGAATGGAGGATGCGCGTTTCGTCCCATTTAAGACTCGTCATCTGGATGTACCTGCATCTCAGAGTTGGTGTACATTCTATGACTCGAACCCAGCCAATTGGATGACGTGATAGCGTTTCAAGTGAACGTTACTGGGTTCGAGTCCCAGAGTAAATATCAACTCTGAGATGCAGGTACATCTAGATGACGAGTCACAAATAGGATGAAACGCGCATCCTGGATTCCACTGCTAACCGCTATTCATCTTTGGTCATACTTATTAGTCGTTCCAATTTATATTATTCAATACAATGAGAAAATATCAGAAGGGTGTTTTTGTGTGTGGATATTGTAGTAATTTTAACAGTTGAGATCAGGAATCTCGTGAAAACTGTATGAAAACTGTAATTATTACTAAAGATTGAATATATTTTTCTCAAATTTAATTAAGTTTATATAAATTTCATTATCTCTATCTGTTATGATCCATGAATAAATACTTATTCGAATATGGAAACACAATCAGAAAACACAGCAGTACCAAAATCGATTGTTTTGTTTTTGTTACATCCTTGATCTGTCTACCCACGTTTAGTGCTGAGGATAACTTGTCTAATCTAGATTAAGACCTTGACGCGATAGGCTGACGGGCTTAACTTTGACGCTACTACGCGTGAGTTCGATGTGAGGTAGAGAGAAGAAAACTATTCTATTATCTGAGCGAGAGGAGATAAGTCAACTGGAACACTACTCGATTTATTCCCAATTCCGATATGGTTCCCGACTTAAGATCAGTGTAAAAAGGTACATGAATATATAGATGACTAACCTGACCACAACGTACGATAATTAGGAAAATACAATTATGTTCAAAACTGGGGATTAGTGTAGAAAATAGAGTACAAAATAATACTTTTAAATTACAATAGCTTTGGAACAAATAGAACTATGGCAGTGAATCATACATCAAACGAAAGCTTATGATCTCTAGAATAAACTAGGAACAAAAACAAATGTTAATGCTTTACAAGCTTTGAATTAAATAAAACAACGTCCCCAAACATAGTTTCCATAGTTTGTCAAGGTTTCTTGTTTCTCTGTTCACATCAGTTATTTTTTCAAATCAATTAAATGAATCAACATTACCAAGTAGTCAACTGAACTATTTAAATAATTTCTCATTCATTCTTGTAATAATAATATATGCTTAAAGCTTAATAATCTACTAGGTTACTGATTGACATAGAAACTGAAATAAATTTTATGAACTGTTTTTTTTTAAAAGTAGTTAACTTTTAACTGTCTATCTGTCTATAAACATGTTAACCAGTAATTCTAAAGGTTTGTTCGAAATATTTCAAATTCCTTACAGTTACATTTATCATTATTACTATTTTTTGTGTGTACAATTCGAGAATACTTTTGAAGATAGTTAGTTACCAATTACTAGAAAGTTGAAATTCCTTCCTAAGCAAATCAGTGATTATCCTGTAGTGGTCTTCTATAGTGACTACTCTGTAAAAAAAAATCATTTCTATTATAGGATTGTATAAAGCTTTATTGGAAGTTTATAATACTAGATTACGTATTACGAATAATAACAATAGACTTAATAAGTTAGTAACGAATTATAACGTGAATGTAGTAAGATGTCTAAAATGATTATGTTACAATAATAAAAGGTCATAGAGGTATAAAAATAAATAAAGTGATATGATGAGTACTTATCGTCGCCTCCATGGGCATCTACCAGTTGATCTGCTCTTGTAGAGCATGGTACATTGGCTTTAGTCAGCGACTGGTTTCAATTTGGATACGGGAACACCTTCCAGTTTGATTCTACAAGGGTGAGAGGGAGGCAGTTAGGAGTTCTATACTTGAACACTTAATCGGCTGAAATCATTCTACGGATCCACAGTTTGATTTTAAGGTTATATATACAATTCGTTCAAATCTATCTAGATTTCTTCGTATCCAACTTCTAAAAATAGCCGAAGCTCTTACCATCCATGAGCTCAGGCCAGAACTATGCATACAAAGAAGTGCGTTCTATCGTTATCGTTACCTTGGTCCTAATAACAATAATTATTACTATTACTGCACTCCCCCTTTATTCATGTCCAATATTCTCATTATTTTATTCATAAGTACTTATCATATCACTTTATTTGTTTTGATACCTCTATGACCTTTAATTATTGTCACAAAAACATTTTAGTCATCTTACTACATTCACGTTATAAAAGCTTTATTGGTTATATGGTAATTATTATGCAAAGAAGTTATCCATTCGTCTTTTCGAAAAAAAACCTGAGAGTCATTGTCGATGACAAGTTTCAAGTGTTATTATAGGGACTTATTTTCTATTATTCTTAAATGTAGCCAAATAGAGTTAATAACCATTTGAGAGATATGTACTTCTAGTAAAATCTTATAGCTCATCTCAGCCCAGAATGTAATCTAGCAAGTAAAACACTGAATATCATCTA